AGAATGCCAAGAGCTGTGGCCATGTCATACTGTCCCCACCTGTCAGAAGCAGTAAACTTCAGATTGCTGGCCTTAAAACATTCCCAAGTTCTAGAAATGCACCTGCAGAGGAATACGTAGGCTTCTGTACACTCTTTCCACCAGCTTTTGGTACCCCCTGCTGGTGAAATTGTGTGATCCAGTTGGCAAGAATTTCAGAACAAGGAGAAAAAGAAAATTCCAAGTTTGTGAAGTCACAAATAAGTGAGTCTTGAAGGATATGAGGGTTCCATAAGTTATAGGACCATTCCCTGTATCACATGACTATTTTATGAGGTTTTTGTTTTTTGCTTTTTGTTTTACATCTATAGCTGTGGCTCTTCTGCAGGCTCTGAGGAGGGGGAAATCTCTGACTTTTGTGAACATTCCATTAATTCCTCGAGCATCCCAAGAGTTCTGTTGACAACCACAGGAAGGAAATGCTAAGTTATTAGCCAAAAATATTCATAAGTATAAATATTCCAGGTCACGAAATAATTTCATGCAGGTTTTTCTCCCTTTTTCCTTGTATGTGTCTTTTTCTAAGTGGTTATAACTTGCAGTCAGAGTAGGATGACAATCTTTCTACACTTCAGATTGTAGGGTTTTAAGTATAAATTTGTGCAACAAATTTGTTGAGCACCAGTTATGGTACAGCCGCTCAGCAAGAAACTAGAGTAGGTGCAAGAAGTCAAAAGCCCTTCATTCAAGAGGTTCTTGCCCTGGTGGGCAGGAGAGTTGAATCACTGCGTGCGGACTAGTCAAGTGCTTAGCTGACATGGCAACAAGGCATTGCTTGGTCTCCTGCCAGGACGCAAACCAGCTATTAGGTCTCTCAGAGCTTCGTGTGTTTCTCCTCCTTGGCTTTTAACACCTTTGTGATTTGATGTTTGTTCTGTATTAGGCTTCGTGTGTTTCTCCTCCTTGGAGAAACACCTTTTAACACCTTTGTGATTTGATGTTTGTTCTGTATTATCGGTTTAGTGCCTGTCTTTGCCAGGCATCTCTGTTCTATGAAGGTCAAAGTTATGTGTAGTGATTTGTCACTGTGACCTCCTTCCATCTAGCAGAGATTGGCACATGTAGGTGCTCAATAAATACTAGTTGAATGGCTGAGTCAACCAAGCAGAGAAAAGAGGAAATATGTCTAGGGGAAATCTCAACAAGATATGACTCTGGAATGCCACTGAGCCTTGCAGGATGAAGAGGTGGTGGCCAGTGGAGGAGAATGGGGGCATGTTTAGGAAACAGAGTATTGAGGAATGGGTGCAGAAGGGAGATGAGTAATTGGTGTTTCCTAAAAAGGAGACAGGTGTGAAAGAGAAGGCTGAATTGAAGCTGAAGCCACAGTCGGAGGGTCTCATATAGCCTCCTCACTGGCTTGGATTTTCCCTTCTCTTAAAAGGGAGGGGAATCAATTAAACTCGATGGCAATAGGAAAGGATATAATTTTTCCTTTATTACCGAGAGGATTTTTAATACTTAAAATTTGAATTCTGACAAAGTTAGGTCCCCACACTGTGATTTTATATTTTATTTCCTTCTGTATTAACTCCATTTCCACTTTGTAGCATGTGTACCTGTTGCTAAAATACCTGTCTATACCTTTTTAAATTACTATAGAGCAGTGGTTCTCAACCTTCCTAATGCCGCGACCCTTTAATACAGTTCCTCATGTTGTGGTGACCCCCGATTTCATTGTTACAAATTGAACATAATTAAAGCATAGTGATTAATCACAAAAACAATATGTAATTATATATGTGTTTTCCGATGGTCTTAGGCGACCCCTGTGAAAGGGTTGTTCGACCCCCCCAAAGGGGTCACGACCCACAGGTTGAGAACCACTGCTATAGAGCATCATCATCATCATCATCATGAACAGGTAGCATCAACCATGAACTAAGTACTAGGGATGTCGTATGTCGGTTTTTACAACTCAGTTGTCCAATTTTTAAATACGTGTTTTGGAGAGGCTCAGTGTTTCATATATTTATCCAGGTGTTCAGAGCTGCCCAAACATTTCTGTGAAATGCCATTTTTCATAGAAGCAGCGAGGCTGTTTTTTATTAATATTATCCCTTTGGAAAGCAATGATTTGTGCCAAAGACAGCTCTCTCCATATTATTTTACCCTGAATGGAATGAGATTGGTTAGGAGTTCTGCCCCCAGGGAAATATCAAAGACTCCGATACATAGTCATTTATAGTTTTAAAGTTTACTTTCTTATCAAGTTTCCTTTTATTTCCTCCTGGGGCGATGTGAGCAAAGCTCGGGTAGAGGCAAAGGATCTGATGTATATCTTTTCAAATTTATGATTAAGAAGGTCACATATACATTTTTAAACATATTCCTTTTTGATAATAAATGAAGAATAAAGCTTCAAAATGTCATCAGTAGCAGAATTGCTCGTTTTTCTTTCGTTGGCGTTCCCCGCTCCCTGTCTGATTACTTGTAGGTGGTGAGAAAAACTGATCCAGTGCTACCTTTCCTGTTGTTTTTCTATCTGCCTGGAATAGTTTCACTAGGGGAACAGTATGCTTGGGGCCAAAGCATTGTAAGAAAGATGCATTCCTACTCCTAAGTGCCCAGCTTTCCCCAGACCAATGGGTGAAAAGAAAAGATAAAGAATTCCATTTTAGGCTGCATCTGTGTACAAATTGTGGCCAAAGGAGGGAGGTAGAATCACTTCTTTTCTTCTGGGTAGGGATTCCTGGAGCAGATCCACTCTCCATGCTTCTCCACTCTGCTCTCTGTTTTCAGAGCTGGATCCATAGGGACTCCATGTCACTGGCTTCCCATTGGGCTCAGCGAATGAGAGCCACTGTAGGAGGTCAGGGTAGAGGGGAGGAGGTAGCCAGGCCATGATGCCTCTGGTTCAGGATTGGCTGGCTCCTTCAAGAGAAGGCCATTTCTATGCAGGTGGCCTCTTCAGGATTCTCTTCTTTTGGGTTCTGGTGACTGCTTCCTCCCCTTTCCTTCTGGACACACGAGTGGTAGACAGCTCTCTGGTCATATATTATACCTTGGGTTCCCCTATACCCTTCTCACCTTTGTTGGTGGTTCTATGCCAGTGGTGGGGAACATCCAGCCCGTGGGACATATAAGGCCCATGAAATCATTTGGTCTGGCCCTGCAAAGGCATTAGGGGTGAGTTAGTGAAAGTTTGACTAAATATAGAGGCTAATTTTTAAGTTGAAAATTTGGTATGACCCAAGAATGATGTTATAAATCTCCAGATGGCCCTTGGCAGAAAAAGGTTCCCCACCCCTGTATAAACTCTTCTCAAGTTACACTCATTTACTGGTAAGTGTACCATTGGTCATTCTTCTGTGTGATCTACACCTAGGTCAAGGGGCCCATGCAAAGGAGGATGCTAGCATAGTGTCCAACTAGAATTGATCCTAGATGAACTGCTCTCAAACATCTCTAAGTCCAGGTTTATCCTTTCATTTAATACCTCTTCTGACAGGGAGATCATTACCTCTTGAAACTGCCTATTTCATAACCAGGAGGGTTCAACTTTGAAGAATTATTTCTTATATGGCACTGAATTTGACTTCTCTGGGACATCTGTTCTTCTCTTGTTGAGATAGGAGGGACCAAGATTAAATTTGAAACCAAGTTCTGTGAAAAATGAAGGAAGACAACCGGAAGAATCTCCTCTTGAGATTTTACCTATAGCCTTTCATATCATAGGAACATAATAACTATATTTAGATGCATAAATGTTGGGAAAACCCAGAGGGACCATGCTGCCTTTCAGACACATTTGAAGAACTATCATATGCAAGAGGGCTTAGTCATATGTTTATATCTCTGATGATAGATCTAAGACAAATCAGTTAAAACTTATGGGAAATAGATTTCAAATCCAAGTGGAGAAGAACTTTTAACCCTTTAGGTCCTTAGGTGTCAAAGTCTCCATCACTTGATATAACCTGGGGATTTCACAGTGGGGCTGTTGGAGGGGGCTTCAGACATTGGAATGTAGTTGATCCAGTGGCTATGATATTAAAACAAGCATAGCAGCTGTGTTGGGTGTTCACTGTGTGCCAGGCACTATGCTGTACGTGTTTCACACGTTGTCTCTTTTAATTCTCACAACCCTTTGAGGCTGGTCCTGTTATTTGCCACAGTACACAGAGGAACTTGCCCTGGGTCATGCAGCTGCCAGGTGGTAGAGGTAGAGTATGAGCCCAGGCCTGCTTGATGTTAAAACTAATGGCTTTAACCTTCAATGAGCAGTGGCAGAATAACCTGGGGAACTTGGTGGCCATGCAAAGGTCCAGGCACTGTCCTACTTCATGAGCTTGGGCCTGTGTGTGTGTTCAGCTCTCCAAATGATTCCAATTTACACCAGAATTCAAAAGCACTGCTCTAAACTAGTGTTATTATAAATGCCCATCTGGTTCTGAGAGTCTGTTATGCCTAAGTAAAAAGCTATACATCAAGTTTAGCTTTAACTTTTCTTCTTCTGAGCTACAAGGCTACCTAAACTCCAACCTCACCCACTGCCAACCACCAACCCCTACTTCAATCTACAATTGTTTTCTTAATTATTTCATGAGCTCAGTTCCTGAGAAAGGTCAGACTCCATTTAAATCTCATTCAGAGCCATGGGAACAGAAAGATCAATCTGGCCTCTCATGCCTTTGACAGGAGAGTAAGGGAAGTATCATGCTAGTCTCACCAAATTCCTGTTCTAACCTCATCTAAGTTCATCCTGTCCAAGAACACACCATAGTTGGGGATGAGGCAGGATGCATATCATATTTCTGAGTAAATAGAAACCACTAATGGTTTTAGAAGGATTTAGGTTTATTCCACCTTGATACTGGAGGACCCACCTTGACTCTGTTTCTGGAGACTGAACCAGGTTTGGGGTTGAAGATGATGGGTAGGGAAGGAGAGCAATCTGGTCTTCTCAACGCAACTGGCACCATCTGACTGTGATTTTTTCCCTTGCACATGTCCCAAAGGAAGCTGGCCAAGAAGCAGAAGGAGACACAGAGCGGAGCCCAGAGGGAGATGGGGCCTGTGGCCTCGACCGACAAACCCACCACCAAGCTCAGCACCAGCCGCAATGATGAAGGCTTCTCCTCCAGCTCTCAGGATGTTAACGGATTCAGTAAGTTGAGCTCACTCAAGGGAAGGGAATATCTGTGGTCCTGCTTGACCCTGGTACCTCTGCTGTGGACCCCTCACAGTGGTCAGGTGCTGCCGGGCATGGGGTTGGGGTGCTTCCCTGGGACGGCCCAGGATGAAAGTTCTCCAGGGAAAAAGTTGGGACCACCCATCCTGGGGTGAAAAGCAGAATTTAAGAATTGCCTCAAAATGGAGTCAGCCATTTAACTGCTTGTGGCATAAATAACGACAGGTTAAAACTAATAACAGTAAAAAAAAAAAAAGAAAAAGAAAAGGAGGAGGAAGACATGGTTATGCACTTAAGGAGAAAAACATGCCATATTGAATCGAGTGTCTTACAGTTTTTAAAACAACATTTGATATAAACCATATAAGGTAGATGAGTCATAGATTATTGCTGTATCTGTTTTGAATGCTTGGGAAACTGAGGCCTAAAGAAGCAACTTCTCTCAAGTCCCAGTGCTGATGAGTAGCATATCCAGACCTGGAAGCTATGCCTCCCAAACCTTGGCCAGTTCCAAGCTCCAGCTAATGTTCCAAGTGGCATTTAGTCAGGAGCACCTGAGTCCTCACGCGGAATTAATACAGGACCCCGAGCCAACAGAAATGGCTGAGATTCCGGGGTTGGCCCTCCTCCAGAGGGCATCCTCCAGACGGGTGACCTAAAGTTACCTTGGTGATCAGACTAGAGAGAACTGACTTGTGTTCAGATCGTTCTGTTGGCCAGTTTTTTGTGTGGTTTTTTTTTTCTGGGTTTAATGGAATGCAGGGAATCTAAAGGAATGTGAGCATGGACAGATGACCTCCACACACTGTGTCAATGACAAATGGAAGAAACCATATTTTGTAAAAATCACTTTGGATGTGATCAGTTTGGGAGATTCAGATCTATGAGAAGATGAAGAAAGAAAAAAAGCAAATGTTTACTGACCGCCCTCCTCCTACCACAGCCAGTGTTATTGTTCCCATTTTATAGAAAAGGTCTCCAAGGCTCAGGGTGTTGTGCTGACCTACCCTGAGTTCCACCGCTAATTCCTGATGGACCCAGGATCTGAGGGTAACCCAGACCCATTGTTCTTAACCTCCTGTGCAGCACAGAACCAACCCATCCAAGGCAGTTTTCAAAATACGCATATCTGGGCTCCAGGCCTTGCCCACTGAATCAAAATCTCCTGAAGGAAGAGGCGTATGGAGGGGACGAGGGGTAGGGCAGGGATGAGGAGTAAGGAGGGATGTAGGTTTGGTAAAAGCCACTCAGGGGGTTCTATAGGGACCCTGTTTAAGAATACTGAACTTCAAGGGCAGAAATGGCTTTTTCAAATATTGATGTGCTGCCTTGGGAAAGAGAGATTAGTTTTAAACTTATAAAAAACTTATAAAAAGGTTGGGAGGAGGCATAAAATGAATACTCTTATAGCCTTTGGCTTGATTCACAAATTGCTCATATTTGTGATATTTGTGCGCTCTCTCTCTCTCTCTCTCTCTCTCTCTCTCTCTCTCCATATATATTCTCCAGAGAATTCAGTATGTGTTTCCTAAGAACTAGGACAGCTCTTCAACATAACCACAATAAACTTATCCTACCCAAGAAATGTAACCTTAGTTCAATACCTAATATACCAGCCCATAGTTGAATTTCCTCAATGGCCCTAACATTTATTATTATTATCATCATGATTATTATTATTTTAATCCAATAAAAGTGATCACATTAGATTGATCATCATGTCTCTTCAGCCCCTGTCATCTAGAATAGCCCTCCCACCTGTATTTTATCTTTCAGGATGCTGACTTTTTTTTAAAGGGTAGACCAGTTGTCCCATAGAGTATTCCCCAATTCAGATTTATCTGATTTTTTCATCATGATTACATTCAGGTTAAACATGTTGGCAAAAATACAACATAGGTGATTTCATGTGCATCTCCTTGCCTTCTATCAGTAGACACATGCTGTCACTTTGCCCATTATTGATGAAGCTCAGTCTGAGCACTTCTTGTAGTTGAGTAATGGCTTTAAAGACGAAGTCTAATGGCACATAGTGATTATTTCAGGAACAAATACTTAGCTTTCATTTTTCTCAGAGTGCAGAGCAAGTTTCTGGTCTGCCAAACCATAAAGCCAAGTCCTTTTCCATTCTCAACCAAGGTCAATTGCTGGGACTCATACATTCCCTGGGGCCCGGGGAAAGGGGATATTGGCATGGGCCAGGAGAAGGAAAGAGGGATGAGCAAGGAAATGGGCTTGGTGTGCCCTTACAAATTCCCCCCAGCTGCTGACTGTATTAATTTGTCACTGACTTTCCTGCTTTTGGCCCAAGGGAAAGTCTAGCTGATGACACATACTGACCGAATGCCACCCATTTGCCCAAAACCTTTCCTGTACAGGCCATTTTCTTGTGCACACTTTTTTTGCACTTATAAGAATGTCCTTGGAGAGCTCTGAATGACAAAAAGATTATGGTCTAAGACACATGACAATCATTGTGACCTCAAAGTTGTAGGTATGTGACCTTAAGCTTTCTGACCTGAAATAAAAACCTGGGTAACACCAATTTCTTAGATTTTAAGGGGAAACATCATCACCCTTTTCCTCATGGGCCAAAACTTAGACTCTTCAGAAGAAAGCGCCTAAGACTGATGTGGATTAGCCAGCCAGAGAGGAACAGGCAGAACACTGTACAGAGTCTAATCAGATATTTTAAAATCCAGAGACACTATTTCCAGAGGATTGATATGTGTGTTTTATATATACTCACACAGAGACATATATGTATATGCATTCATTTTAATGATACTGCTTTTTAAAAAGACAGGAAAAACAAATTTCAATTGACACTATACTCAGTTATTAAGAAATTTTGCATTTGTTTGCATCAATCAACATGTTAGGATTGAATCTATGCAGCTAGTGTCCTCAGGCTACAGCCACAAACATGCTCTGGGGTTCTTCTGAGCACCCTGGAATGCATCAGGTGCCTTTCCAAGTGCCTTGTGGAATCACTGGAATAAGATTTGAGGGAGAAAAAAATATAAGTAATGCTTACACTGGAGATGTTGAAATTGCTTCTGAAATCACCCTGCTGTATATAAAATTGAATCTATTTTTGAGGCATTAGGGAAGTGACTGTCTGCTTCTGCGGCAGTGTCTTTAGGAGGCCCTAGCCTAGGATTATTTGCAAATATTGAGGAAACATTGAGAGTAGCAGAGCACAAGAATAGATGTCACATTGGAAAAGATTACAGATGAACGTGCCTGGAGCAATTATTTCATTATTGAACAGGTGGGCCCTGACCTAATTCAAACTCTGCTTTTCCATGCAAAGGTTTATTTTCTGGGGTTTTCTAGTCCAAGTCATTGCTATGCTAAGTTCTGCAACATCCATTCACTGAAGCCCCCCAATTTTGCATTAGGAACAATGACCTCTGGGTGGCAAGGGTGATGGGGCTGTGTAGGGTATGGGCCATTGCTTTGACATTCTTGAAAAAAGGAGTGCATGTCATATTTCAAGGACAAACAATGCATTGTTTTCAGTTTAAAGAAATGCTGACTTTAATCAAGTAATCTGATTTTGATCTTATTGCCCTGTGTGCCTGGTTGTGTTTTATTTTTTCTGAGATCTTTCACTCACTGGGGTTGTTTGCTGGGGCTTTCTTCTTATATCCCTACTTAGATCTTTATCTTTATATCTTTTATTCATGGTGTCATCTTCTTGTTCATTTTCAGGCCAAGTCAGAATTCTTCAAAACAAATCCCTGTTGACTCCCTATGATAGGGACTTTGGTTGCCTGCCTTTCCCATATGGCATTTGACAGACTCACTTACTCATTGGGTACTGTTAGTTAACTCTGTCTTTATTTTTATGCTTCCATTCTGTGCAATGGTTCCATCTCTGGTGGGTGAAGACAATCTAGGTCAAAAAAGACTCTGGGCCTTTAAGCTCTCTGCTGAGTAAGGAAACGGGCATGACTGAGGCCTTGGTGATGAAATTCAATGGCCGTTTCTCAGCACTTAATATATACCTGTCCCTGTGCCATGAGTCTCAGGCATAGTTTGGGGAAGGGGATTATTGCAAAAATAAGTAAAATGGGGCATCGTTTCACAAAGAATAAATGTTTTCTCTTACAGGTTTTTCGTAGTTTATGAAAGTACTTTTGCAAAGGAGTGAGAGATCCTATTCTTGCACCATGAGATAGCTAGCAGGTATATTATTGCCCTCATTCTACAGATGAGAAAACTGAGGTTCAGAGAGACCCCATGCCCCACCTCACACAGGCATTTGCACAGTCATAGTGAGAATCCATCTCTCCTGACATGTTAGGTTCTCTCCGCCTAGTTCTGCAAAGAATTTGGGGAAATATCCTGTCAAAGTACCTAAAATTAGACAGCTGTAAGAGAAATAAATGATCGGGATTGGGAAAACATAAATGAAGACAAGAAGGTCAAAGACAGGTTATATTAAAATGGAATTACTTTAAAAAGTAATCTAACTATGCAAGCTGGTAACTTTCAAATTCCAATTTTCCTCTGAGCTTCCTAGTAGTGAAAGCCCAGAGAGGCAGATAACTTTTTTTGGCATTTACTAGATCTGATGCTTTATACAAACCCCACTCTTAAGTCTCCTAGGAGCCCCATAATTAAATAATATTACCATTTCCTAAATGAGGAAACTTAGTTTCAAAGAACTGAAGTAAATAAGCTCAAAGTTGCACACATAGAGTACGATGGGATCGAAGCCAAATAGTATTATCTGGCTTCTCCTGTGCCATCAATGGCAGCCCACCGCTCACAGGTCTCACTGAGGCTGGGAGCGAGCTCAGCTCCACTTCTCTCCCGATGGTCAGCCAGCTTTTCAACCATGTGGGCAGAAGCTGTGGCCACAGCTGTGTCCTACATGGAGGCCTGGGGCAGGCCCTGTCATGGAGCCAATCAGATCCCCACGAGGTGCCAGGCTCTGAGATCAGCATATTCAAATATGGCATCTT